GGGGAGGCTCTAGCATTACCTCCTTAGGGACAGAGGATCTAGGCGGGGGTGGGGAGGGTGAAGGAATGTCTCAGAGACAGTAAATGTAAATGTGCGGAGTCAGGTTTGGGCCCCGTCCCTCCCTCTACAGCCAGAACCTGTTAGCCAGTCAAGTGCCGAGGCCTGTCCCCATCCACCCTTGACCTCCCCACTCCGCGGGCCCCTGCGGACACTGCAAGGCCCGCAGTGACCGCCCCTCTCCTGCAGCTGAACTTCTCCGAGCACCTGTACTTTGAGAACAGCCTGCAGAACCTCAAGGCTGGTGCCCAGCGGAGCCTCAAGAAGCTGCGGGAGAAGGTGGACCAGAACCTGTGAGTGGGCGCGGGGGGCTGGGGGACGCCAGGCCAGCCGGGGAGGGTGGCTGGGTCTGACTCAGAACCCCCATCTCCCCCCCGGTCCTGGTCACTTGATATCTGGACTGGCCCCGCCCCTGCCTTGGCTGTCTGTCAGTAGCACCCCTGACCACTGGGGCATGGGCCCTCAGGGTGGTCTTTAGTCAGCCAGGTAGGGGGCCGGAAGGAAGGTTCCCCAAGAGGCCGGGTGCCAAATGACCAACTTGTTTCTCCCAGCTGGATCATCGGGGCCGCCGTGGTCAATGCGTTCTACTCCCCAAACCGGAACCAGATCGGTACGTTCACCGATGGTGGGCTTGCGGTGAGCAGCCCCCACCCCTCCTCCTGGGGGCACCCCCAGCCTGCTCTCGGAAGGGGAGAAGGAACCGTCTCTCCCACCTGCAGGAACCTGCCCTCCTGCCTGTGATCAGAGTGGGAGGGTTTTGGGGGAGACAGCAGAGACCCTTTTCCTGAAGGAAGCACGGAAAGGCGGGGACACCCTGGCCTTGGGTCCCGGGCCCTCCACACCCCGGCCCTGCCCTCTGTTTTGAGCCTGAGCTTTTTCGTCTGTGAAATGAGGGTGTGTCGTGATCTCCAGCTCCCAGGCTGCGGGGATACGTGGCAGGACCCTAGAGGTTCTGGCACACACGAGGTGCACTCACGGCTCGTTCTTGCCCCCGCCCACCCTGGGCAGTGTTCCCTGCCGGGATCCTCCAGCCACCATTCTTCAGCAAGGAGCAGCCACAGGCCTTGAACTTCGGGGGCATCGGGATGGTGATCGGGCACGAGATCACCCACGGCTTTGACGACAACGGTATCGCTGCTGCGCGGCCACAGCGGCACCTCCAAGCGACACGCCCCATCGCTGAGCAGCAGGCCCCGAAGGGGACTGCGGCCACGTTCAGCCGCCGGGAAGGGGCCCTGGGGAGGCCCATCCAACCCCTTTTGTGATTCAGATGGGAACCCCA